GACAGCATACACTGGCAGTGTAGTTCGTGATTTGGGTGCGTGGTGTAGAGGCGTATAGGCAACATTTGGGGGAATGGGACTGGCGATGGATGCGTGAGGCTCGTTGAGTTCCGGGGCTGTTTTGCGGGGGTCTAGGGGTGCGGCTGGCAAGGCATTGGCGTTGCGATTGCTTGCTGCTTTGCCCAGATGTCACGTCCTAAGAAGCGAATGCGTGCGTGCGCAGTGTAATGCGTAGACGATACTCGTGGTGCAGGGGCGTATACGTAGCACTTGGGATTGATAAGGGGGAGATGTATCTGTTCGCATCGCCGAGGTGTGGAGTCTGTGTGCGATGGTGTAGGGCCGCGGTGTGTATAAGCCGCCTCTGGTGTTGCGGTCGATCGCTGCTTTGCCCAGCCAGCAGGTGCTGGTGTGCGACAGCATACACTGGCAGTGTAATCCGTCATTTGGGTGCGTGGTTGCGGGGTTGTTTTGTGGGGGTCTAGGGGTGCAGCTGGCGAAGCACTGTCTGGCGTTGCGATTGCTCGCTGCTTTGCCCAGCCGGTACGTCCTAAGAAGCGAATGCGTGCATGCGCAGTGTAATGAGCAGATGATGCGCGTGGTGCAGAGGGGTATGCGCAGCATTTGGGATTGACGTGGGGGAGGTGTATATGTTTGCATCGCTGAGCGTTGGAGTTTGTGTGCGACTGTGTAGGGCTACGGGGTGTGGATGCCGCGTCTGGCGTTGCGATCGATTGCTGCTTTGCCTAGCGGGTAGGTGCTGGGGACCAACAGCATACACTGGCAGTGCAATCCGTGATATGGCTGCGTGGTGTAGAGGCGTATAGGCAACATTTGGGAGAGTGCTACTGGCGATGGATGTGCGAAACTTGTTGAGTAGCAGGGTTGCTTGGCGGGTGTCTAGGGATGCGGCTGGTGAAGCAGTGCCTGGCGTTGCTGACTGCTCGCTGCCTTGCCCAGACGGTACGCCCTAAGAAGCGAATGCGTGCATGCGCAGTGTAATGCGTAGACGATGCGCGTGGTGCAGAGACGTATACGCAGCATTTGAGATTGATGTGGTGGAGGTGTATCTGCTCGCATCGCTGAGCGTTGGAGTTTGTGTGCCATTGTGTAGGGACGAGTTGCACCTAGGCCGCTTCTGGCATTGCAGTCCATTGCTGCTTTGCCCAGCGAATAGGTGCTGAGAATCGATACCAAACGCCCGCAGTGTAATCCGTGGCTTGGATGCGTAGTGTAGAGGCGTATAGGCAACATTTGGGAGAGTGGTAGTGGCGATGGATGCGTGAGGCTCGTTGAGTTGCGGGGTTGTTCAGTGTCCGGCCTTGCGATTTCTGGCGTTGCGATTGCTCACTGCTTTGCCCAGACGGTACGACCTAAGAAGCGAAGGCGTGCACGAGCAGTGTGATGCGTAGACGATGCGCGTGGTGCAGAGGCGTATACGTAGCATTTGGGATTGATCTGGGCGAGGTGCATCTGTACGGTTCGCGGAACGGTGAAGTGTGTGTGCGATCGTGTAGGCCAGAGGCGTGTGGATGACGCCAATGGCGTCGGGGCCGACACACTAGTGCTGCTACTCATTGTGCCTTCAAGAAGGCCAGTCGTAATCCGTGCCTCACTGCGTACCTGAGGGGTAGCGAGGACAAAAGTGGAGAATCTCATACAGGCGGTTATTTCTGTTTTGGATAGATTTGTTAAACTGCTGTGGGTTTGGCGTTCGCGCAGTTGAATGAATGTGCCGTTCACCTCCCGTGTTCCTGAGTTCTGCACGGCACTGGAACGGGTACACAGCACTCCAACCGAGAAGGCAGAACCAAGCAGGAATCAGGCGTTAGTCTGGATGCACGTGATGCTTTAAGCACACCATCTTTTTCGATGCTCACAATTGTTCCAACGAGACCGGCTTAAGCACGGATGCCCCATGTTGCCAGGCGCAGTGTTGTGCAATTCGGATCAAATTCGGGCTCGGTTAGCTTGCAGGTGTTGGCTTCAGCTGCGTCTGTCGATAGGCGCATCTGCAGTATTCTGTGGAGAGCTAGGAGATCTGCATGTGTGAGTTTGTCGGGCCTAGGAGTTTGCGCGTGTGCGTCTTCCTCTGCGTTGCGGCCAAGCCTTCTCTGTTGCTGCGATTGCTCACTGTTTTGGCCAGGACGTATGCACTTGAAAATCAGCCGCAGTTGCAACGACGCGACCCGGCGGATTAACTAGGTCACTGTGTTGCATGTATGGAATGCACCATGCACATTAAGTGTTTCGGGAAGGTTATGGATACTGTACCGTATCAGCTTGTATGAGACGAGGCAGTGATGCAGAGGTGCATGCGCGGAGATGCATGGTGCGTACTCATGCTGTTGGAGTGTGAGTAGTAATGGGAACTCGTTTGGGCTTTACCGTGCTGTTGTTCAGCATCTAATCTGTATTGTTGCTTTGGCGCCGCGATAGGCGCCTCCAAAACAGAGACGGTGTGAGGGAGTTGGTGCAACAGGGTATGCACCGCGCAATATGTTTTAGGAGGCACTAGCGACTAGGCAGTGATGCGGTTCTAGCGTCTAGTACTGTTGACTGCCAGTCGACTCGAGTATGAAGGAACACATTTCGCCAAGAACAGATGTAGGGCAGGGCGAGAAGGGGAGCGCCCGTTCGTGGGATTGCTCACGGCTGTTGGACGAAAGCGCGCGACTTCAGTTGCTCATTGTGCGCCAAAAACGTAATGCACAAGGAAGCGGAAAACGTAGTGCAGGCGGATGCATCTGTTTTGGCTACTGATTAAGCTCATGTGAGTTTGCAGTAGTTGCAGCTTCTGAAAGCGTCGCTCATTGTCTGTCATCCGAGTTCAACAACTCGTTGAAAAGGGTCCTTGGCACTGCAACATGGTAGGCATAAGAGCGCAGGGCGCCGACCGTCGACATGCACTCCCGTGATGTGTCAAGCATGTCTTGCATGCTTTCGATTCTCGTCAGACCCCTAACACGACGCGATTCAACAGGGACGCCCAATGCAGTCAGCTGCATCGAGTATGTCTTAAGCTTACTCTTGCTTTCGTTGCCTTGGTTGACTTGAGCTGCTTCTGCTGAGCGGCGTATTCGCAATCTTATGGAAAGCGTTGCGGATCTTGCATGCTTAAGGACCGTTGGGTTATGCAGTTCAGGTGGGTGCTCCCACTATAGCAGTGTGGCGAACCCTTCTCACGTGCGCACTGCCGATTTGATCAGCAAGTACGCTCTCGGCAACAGCTACAGCTGTTCACCCCTGGCATGAGGCTGTTAATGTTCCAAATGTTTGGCTGCAAGCCTGGGCGCGTGCGCGCATGCATGCAGAATCGTGGATTTGCGGTGTGATGAGCGGTAGCTTGTTTTGTTTTTACCGTGCTCGTGTTTGGTGTTCACAGGATCCGAACGTTTTGGCATCGCGATGTGTGGTTTTGATACAGAGCTGGACGCGCAACCGAGCTTAGCGAACTAGCGGGAGTATATGTGCAGCGCACTTGGTGTTAGGAGTCAGCAGCGACTAGGCAACGATTTGTGTCGAGCGGTTAGCAACGTTGGCTATCCGGCC